AGAAGGATATCATATTGGGTAAGGTGGAGGGTCAGAGAAAAAGAGGAAGACCCCAAACAAGATGGATTGGCCAAGTGGTAGCATTGATGGACTCAAGTGTGGCAACAGTAGTGAGGTTGGCCCAGGATCAAGCAGTGTTTCGTTCTGCTGTGCATAAGATTGCTATGAGTCAGTACTGACTCAATGGCACCTAACAACAACTTTAACTGTTTCTGTTACCTCTTGCCCAATATATTTCCTTCAAATATGCCATAAAAACAGCAAATACAATCAATTAGTAAGAAACACAATCATCACATTTCTCCTTTAAATGCTACAGTAACATCATACATTTTTTTTCTTGGTATAACTATACATAGTTAAAGCTTTACAACTTTAACACATATTAGAATCCTAAAGGGCTTTTAAAATCTTGATTGTGTACCTCAATCCAATCCCAGTTTCTAATCCAATAGATGTGGGGCAGGGCCTAAGAATGAGCATTTCTAATGAATTTTCTGTGAGTCCTGTTGTGGCCCTGTAGGATCAGCCCTGGAGTGCTAATCACTAGATTGGTGGTTCAAACCCACCAGCCACTCCTTGGAAACACTTTACAGAGTCTCTGTGAGTTGGAATCGATTCAGTGACAGTTAACAACACCAATGCAGTCCCTAGTAGAGCTGAAGTTGCTAATCAGAGGAACCACACCTTAAGAACCATTGTATGAACCAGTTAAAGTAAACAAACTGTTTTGCTGAGTTCCTGTCCTTTATTTCTATCAATGAAGATTATAATTAAAAAGGAAAATGCAATCAGTAGCTCTGGTAGCGTAGTGGTTATGAATCAAGCTGTGAACCGCAAGGTCAGCAGTTCAAAACTACCAGCTACTCCATGAAAGAAAGATGAGTCTTTCTGTTCCCGTAAAGATTTACAGCCTCAGAAATCCTGTACAGGGTCACTATGAGTCGGAACCGACTCCACAGCACACAACAAAAACAAAGTGGAAATATATAAAGCCTTTTTGACCACAATATTCATTATTGAAACATGATGAAGAACACCAAAATATTGTCAGATATAGTGCTGGAAGATGAGCCCCTTTGGGTGGAAGGCACTCAAAATACTATTGGGGAGGAGCTGCCTCCTCAAAATAGAGTTGACAGCAATGACACGAATGGAGTAAAGCTTTCAGGACCTGCATTTACTGGTGGGGCACGACTCAAACTGAAGAGACACAACTGTAAACATCTATTAAGAATCAGAATATGGAATGAACAAAGTATGAATATGGGAAAATT